GGTGTAAGTTCAAGTTCTGCACTGGGCTCCATTCTGCGCATGAAGCCTACGCTAAAACAAAACAAAACAAAACAAAAAAACAAAACCTAAAGTAAATAGAGTAAAATACAAAAAGCCCCTTTTGTCCCTCCTCACAGTCCTACTGCCTTCTGCAGAGTCACCATCAACATGTATGTATTCTTACCGAGCATTCTCGGTAAGACACAGATGCACACCATATATGTGTAAACAGATGCACACAGATGCACACCATATATGTGTGCACAGGTATTTACCCATATAAATGTAAACAGTATGGAATAAGTATCATGGCAGAACTTGTTTTTCACATCAGTACGTCTATTTTTAAAGATTTTTTTATTTATTCTTTAAAAGATTTTATTTATTCATGAGAGACAGAGGGAGAGGCAGAGACACAGGCAGAGGGAGAAGCAGGCTCCCTGTGGGGAGCCTGATGTGGAACTCAATTCCAGGGCCCCGGGATCATGCCCTGAGCAAAGGCAGATGCTCAACCACTGAGCCACCCAGGAGCCCTAAATTTTTATTTTTTTAAAGTAATCTCTACACACAACGTGGGGCTCAAACTCACAACACCGGGATAAAAAGTTGCGTGCTCTACCAATGGACCAGCCAGACACCCTGTGTCAGTATGCCTTAAAAATACTTCTGTGTCCATACTACAGAGCTGCTGTTTTACCTGCTGCAGAGTATTGTGTGGTGGGAATTGGTAGGCATTAATTCAATAATTTCCACATTTATGTGTAATTATGTTGTTTCTAATTTTTTATTATTTCAATAAATGCTTCAGTACACATTCTTATTACTGACCCTTATTACGGACTCTCTTTGTGTGAATATTTCTTTAGTCTGGATCCTTACAATCATGGTTATCAAATCAGAGGGTAGACGCATTTTAAATATTGACATGTGCTGCCAAATTGTCCGCCCAAAAAACTGTATTGACTTACACTTCTCAGCAAGGAGCGTGCTCTTTACTCACATTCTCTCCAGCACTAGCTGTTACCAGTCATTACATATCTGCCACTTCAGGGACTGAAAAATGGTATCTCCTTTCAATTTTTTATTTCTTATGAAATTGAATGTTTATATTTTTCTTTATAAAAAGATTTTTATATCTTTTGTGCATTTTTTAATGATTTGTAGGTGCTTTTATTAGCTATATTTAACCTCTTTTATGTTTTACCTATTTCCCAACCTCCTGTTTCCTAATTAATTTGTGTACAGAAGTTTGACATTATTTTTTAAAGATTTATTTATTTGAGAGACAGAGAGTGAATGTGTGGGCAAGCACACACAAGCAGGAGAAACAGAGGGAGGGGGAGAGAGAATCAGAAGTAGGCTTATGCTGAGCCTGGAGCCTGATGCAGGACTCGATCTCAAGAAATTGAGATCAGGACCTGAGCGGAAACCAAGAGTCAGAACTTAACCAACAGCACCACCCAGGTGCCCCAGAATTTTGATATTTTTTAACGTGGTCAAATCTATCAATTTCCCTCCCTTTTGTGGATACTGGATTTTGTGTCTTCCTTAAGAGGCCCTTCTTTATCCCATACTTACTAAAAATTGTTTTCCAATACTTCTAGTTATTTTTATATTTCAATGTTTAATTCATCTGCATTTTATTTCCATAGTGTGAAAGAAGAAAATGTTTTCCAAGTAATCAGTAATCCCACCATCATTTACTGAATACTTCAACCCTTCTTTACCTATTTGTAAGGCCATTCTTCACATATTAAATTCCTATGTGTACATGGCTCTGTTCCTGGTTTCTCAGATGTTCTGGGCCTTTAACCAATTTGATTATTCCTGATATTTCATTTGCTTTGGCTCTATGGGCTGCTTTGATTTCAGAACTGTTTTGTGCATGGTCTTCCGGATGACCTTTGTAATCAGGTTGTTCTATCCATTTTAAGAACCTTGCTTTGAGGGGCACCTGCGTGGCTCCGTGGTTGAGCGTCTGCCTTCGGCTCAGGTTGTGATCCCAGGGATCACGGGTCCTGGGATCGAGTCCCACCTTGGGCTCCCTGCAGGGAGCCTGCTTCTTTCTCTCTCTCTGCCGGTGTCTCTGCCTCTCTCTGTGTCTCTCATGAATAAATAAATAAAATCATTTAAAAAATTGCTTTAATTATATGAAATTGCTTTGAATTTGTAAGCTCTTTTGGTAGAATGGACATATTTATTGCATCAGGACTTTCCCTTAGACAGAAACGTGGCATGCTTCTCCATTCGGGGATTTTTTTTATATCCTTCGACATAGATTTTTTTATTCATATGGGCCTTAACATTTCTCTATTAACTTTATTTCCACATGAATGAGATCTTTTCCTCCACATTTCCTAATTGATTATTGCTGGTGTATAAAAAAGTTTTTGATATTGGTGTTGGTGCTATGCCCTGCCTCCTTACTGTTTCTTAATTAGTTGTAATACCATGTCAGTAAAAAATCATTAGTTTCCTTTTTGTCCCAAAACATTTATTTACAATGACAACTGTCTTATTTTGCATTTTCTATACTTTTTACTACAATTTTTGTATCCTCTGTTTTTTCACCAAGTTTGTTTGCTGTAGATTTCTGATAGGTACATTTAGTCAAGCTACAGAAGGTAAAGTTCCCTTCTATTTCTATATTGTTAAGAGTCCCAGAGGATGGGGTGCCTGGGTAGCTCACTTGGTTACAAGTCTGCCTTTGGCTCAGGTCATGATTTTGGGGTCCTGGGATTGAGTCCCATGTCAGGCTTCCTCTCAGTGGGGAATCTGTTTCTGCCTCTCCCTCTGCTCGTGCTCTCTCTCACTCACTCTCTAAAATAATTAAAATCTTAAAAAAAAAAAGTACCAGAAGATTTTTGATTTATTAAATGCTTCTTTTAGCAGTGAAGATGGTATTTCATTCTTTAATCTGTTCATTCAGTGAACTATAGTGGTTTTGCATCTCTGGTAAGTGAGATTGGTTTACAGTTTTCCTTGTGTTTTATTTGTGTAGTTTTGGTATTAGGATTATGCTTTCCAAATGGAATGAATTAGGAAGCTCTACTTTTTCTTTCCTATCATTTAGAATGGTTTAAAATACATATACCTTGAAGGTTTGTCTGATAGTATTTGCATTTGTGTGTGTGTGTATTTATTTATGAGAGGGAGAGGATTGAGAGCAAGCACGAGTGAGGGGAGGGGCAGAGAGAGAGGGGGTAGGGAGAGAATCTCAAGCAGCCTCATGCCCAGCAGAGCCTGATCTCACAACCCTGAGATCATGACCTGAGAAGAAAAGCAAGAGTTGGACATTTAACTGACACAGCCACCCAGGCCCCTCAGTATTTGCCTTATTTTTATTTTTAAATTCAATTTGCCAACATATAACACCTCAGTGCCCTTCACCCAGTTACCCCATCCCCCCACCCACCTCCTCTTCTGCAACCCTTTGTTTCCCAGTTAGTAGTCTCTCATGGTTTGTAGTAGAAAACTTTTTAAAAGAAGTTCTCATACCTTTTTAGTTTCTCCTAAGTTACTTGGTCTATTTACATTTTCTACGTATCTGTTCTAGAATCTTTTTTTTTTAAGTCACCACACTTCATCCAGTCTTCCAAATTTATTGGAATGAAGCTATATAATCACATTAGGAGTAAATTGTGAATAGTACTCCCTTCTAATTAAAAAAAGTCTCCATATGTAAGTTACCTAAAAATTAATTCTGGTTATATACTTTTGTTAATTACTTCTTGTTCTTTTTATATTTTCCAAAGGTTTGCCTTTTATGGGTTTTCATTTTTTTTTTAAGATTTTTATTTATTTGAAAGAGAGCCAGCAAGAGACAGCATAGGCAGATAGAGGGAGAAGTAGACTCCTCACTGGGCAAGGAGCTCAACACAGGGCTTGATTGATCTTAGGCAGATGCTTCATGGGCTGAGCCACCCAGATGCGCCTATTGGTTTTTACTTTAGAACCTTTCATTGATCAAAATATGTTTGCTTTACAATTCATTAATTTCTGCTTTTAATTTTTTAAATCCCTTGCTTCTTTCAGCTTTTTTTGTTTCTGAAGTTAAGCTTTATTTCACCTATTTTAATTTTTTTTTTTTAAGATTTTATTTATTTATTCATGAGAGACACAGGCAGAGGGAGAAGCAGACTCCATGCAGGGATCCCAACGTGGGACTCGATCCTGCTCCAGGATCACACCCTGGGCTGAAGGCAGGCACTAAACTGCTGAGCCATCCAGGCAACCCCCCCCCTTTTTTTTAAAGAGCTTACTTCTATGCAATCTCCACACCCAGTGTGGGGCTTGAACTCACAACCCAGAGATCGAGAGTTACATGTTCTAGGACACCTGGGTGGCTCAGCAGTTGAGTGTCTGCCTTCAGCTCAGGTTGTGATTCCGGGGTCCTTGGATCAAGTACCACATTGGGCTTCCCGTAAGGAACCTGCTTCTCCCTGAGTCTCTTGTGAATAAATAAAATCTTTAAGAAAAAGAAAAAAGAGTCATATAATTCACTGACTGAGCCAGCTAGGTGCCCTTATTTTTGGTTTTCTTATTTCTTGAAAAATAAATCAAAATCTATAAAATTTCTTCTAACATCTTATTTGGCAGAATGTCCCAGGTTTTATTTATTCTAAATTGTCTGGAATTTGCTTTGATTTCCCCCATCAATGAGTTAATAAAAGGTAATTCAAAAATTTCCAAGTGAAGAAAATTTGCAAGTGGACATGCCTTTGTTACTAGCTTTATTACATTTTGCAAAGCGAACACAATCTCTAGGATCTTTGCATTTTGCAAGTTTTTTTCCCCTCCTATCAATCATTTTTATAGATGTTCCACAGGTGTTGCACAAGAATATGTTTTGTATTCATGGTGGATACAAGATATTTATGAGATAACTAATCAGTGGGAGGGGGTGGGACCTGAGTGTTTTGCTTTAACATTATCATACAGTAATGACTCGGAGGGGGTGCAGTTCCATGATTTTTGACATATGTATGGGTTCATATTACCACCACCACAATCATAATTACGATTTAAAAAAAAGATTTTTATTTATTTATTCACAAGAGACACACAGATAGAGAAAGGCAGAGACATAGGCAGAGGGAGAAGCAGGCTCCCTGTGGGAAACCCGATGGGGGGACTCGATCCCAGGACCCTAGGACCACGCCCTGAACCGAAGGCAGACGCTCAACCGCTGAGTCACCAAGGCGTCCCATAACCACAACTATAATACAGAAGTCCATCACCAAAACACAGACCCTTGCACAGCCCCTTTGTAATCAAACCCTCCCCCTCCCAACACCTGACAACCACAGATCTAGCCTCTATCACTATAGTTTTGCCTTTTCAAGAATGTCAATAGGCGAAATCAGAGAGTATGTAACTTCTGGGCTTCTTTCCCTTAGCATACGACTTTGAGATTCATCAAGTTGTTATGAATGTAATTCATTCCTTTTTATTACATGTGTGGATACACTATCATTTGCTTATTCATGTGCCTGTTGGAAGACATTTTGGGGATTATGAATGGAGCTGCTATAAACATTCAAGTACAGGTTTTTATGTGAACTCGAATTTTCATCTATTTAGGGTAATCACTCAGGAGTGATGGCTCAGTCAAATGGTATGTTTAATGTTTAGAGACACTGCCAAACTGTTTCTTTCCTGACTTCCCTTGGATTTTTAAATTCCACCCCCTGTTCCTGGTAATTGGTAGCTATTAAAATTTGTTGACATATACTTACTTCTCTTTCCTTGTCTTGGCACATAATAAGTCCACACTATGTTGACCTCAGGCATGGCATGTAACACTTTGGCTAATGACATGTGAGAAGCATGTGTGCTGAAGCTTTAAGTCAGTGAACATTGCCTCACTCTTTTTCCTGGGGTCTTGCAAGCAGCAATATTCTAAATAGTGATGCTTTGTCAGCTGGCTTCCTTGCTGAGGGTGATATGGAGCTCACTTTATTTCCCCATACGCATTAATAGTCACATAGTCTGATATAGGTATTTCATGATTATAAAGGGGAATGGCATGTCCCATGGCATCATGGTTGATTTAAAATCTTATCATGGATTCACTGTTCAGGTTGCTTAGTAATTCTTAGAGAAAAATTTCTTTTAGTTGTTCAACAAGAAGTCTGATACTGAAATCTGTGTTGTCTCATCAATTCCACAAGTATTTGTGTACCTACTATATGCCAATCAATTACTTACTATTTGTGCAATTACTATATGCCTGAGTTGGTGGAAGACTCACACTTTTCTTTCAGAATATTTACCTATCCTCCCTTTGTAGGGCATGTTAGGGGCATCTCTTAAATCTTCCTTTCATGGATTTAAGCTCAGCTCGACCCATCTTCTGAGTGTTTTTCATAATCCTATTTTTAATTTCTAGGAACTAAATATTTTTTTCCTAGCATCTTATTCTTGATGGATACAGTATCCTTATGCCTCTCTGAAGACCTTAATTGTGTTAATCGTGTTAATTTTTAAATTTCTTGTTTCTTCTACTATTTCTTAGGCAGGTTAATTTGTTTTAATTTGGTGTTTCCTTTTACGTTACTGGTTTTCTTCAAATCTGATGCTTCTTGGCACATTTATAGATGCCGACCTAAGGTTACAGTCTGAAGTGCTTTTCCTCAGCCAAATAATCATTTCACTTTCAGTGAACACAAACTCTGATCCTAGGTGCCTCTGGTGATTAGAAAGGGAGTGGCTGCTCACCACAACCAGAGTGAGTGGGTGAGCAGCTGATTATCATTTCTTCCTTGTAGTCATCTGGATAGCACTCTTTTTCTCCAATCCACAGGGACTGTCCTGCATCAGAATTCCTACCTCAAAAGAGCTGCTTTCTTAGCCTTAGCTTGGTGGTAAACTCCAGAATTAGGTGCTTCAAAGGTGCGCAGAATGGCTTGACTGTTTCACTCTTTAACTGATCCTTCAATAATCTGCTTTTTATCTTCTAGGAAATCCACACTGTTCATTTTCTGGTTTTCCAGCTCTATTAATCTACTTTTAATTTTCTCCAGTCATTTCAATGAGATTCTGGAAGAGTAAAAGAATGTGTTCAGTCATCTCTGTTAAGCAGTCAGCTCCAGAATGTAGTTTATAATCAGAATCTTTAAAAAAAAAATAATCATTGTCGCCTATCTTGACAATCCTCTGAAAATCTTGAGATCAGGGATGATTCTGTAAATATCCATTTGAAATTAGACTGATTGCTGGACACAGTACTGGATAGACATGGAAAAGTAATTATTGCAATAGTAATTAAGACCAATTATAATTAAGACCTGGCTTTAAGGCAGGAAGGACTAGGAACTCTTTGCTACAATATCACATCTGACACTGTTTTAAAAACCTCAAAAACTCTTTGCATAGACTGCATATGCTTAATAACTTGGCAAAGGTCCATAGCAATTTCTCAGTAAAGATAAACACTTGTAACTTTCTCTAACCCAGATGAAAATACTGTATTTCAGTGAAGTGACATTGCTTCAGGTGCAGTATTGCAGTTTAACATCAAATTTCTAAAATCCTCATTGTTAAGTGACAAAATATCCATATCGATGATTTTTTTTTTAAGATTTTATTTATTTATTCAGGAGAGACACACAGAGAGAGAGAGAGAGAGTGTGTGTGTGTGTGTGTGTGGCAGAGTCACAGGTAGAGGAAGAAGCAGGCTCCATGTTGGGAGCCTGATATGAGACTCGATCCCGGGGCTCCAGGATCAGGCCCTGGGCTGAAGGCGGCGGCGCTAAACCACTGAGCCACCCGGGCTGCCCGATAATTCTTCTTTTTTAAAAGATTTATTTATTAGAGAAAGAGAGTGTGCTTATGCACAAGCAGGGGTGGGGGGGAAAGGGAGAGAGAGAAGCAAACTCCCCACTGAGCAGGAAGCCTGATGCAGGGCTCGATCCCAGGACCCTGAGATCATACCTGAGCTGAAGGCAGACACTAACCAACTGAGTCACCCAGGCGCCCCAATGATTCTTAATGATTAAAAACCACATAAACTATGCAACAATTTTAAAGCCATAATTTCTGTAATGTATGTTTTTTAAAAATCTGTAAAAGAAAACAGGTTATCAGTACAAATGATTTAATTTCTACCTCTTCCCAATGCCACTTCCCCCCTAAAACTTGCCAGAATTCATCCCACATTAAGAACACAAGTCATTCTTATATAGTTGGCAATATGAACTGTATCTGTTTTTTCCTTACATTTCCCCAATTCTCTAAATTACTTATCATTTTGCACCGCATGTATGTGGGCGAGCCACCTCAAATTCACCGAGCAATCAAGAAACCCACATCCGCACCTGTTCACATCTCTTTCTTCCAGTCTTAAGAGCACTAACTCATCTCATGCTCTGGCCTCCCTGGATCCTGCTGTTAAGGGCGAGCCTCTCACTCCTCAGCATCTTCACAATCTCCTTTAATCGGTTCCTTCCTTTCAACCTATAAACACTTAAGTTGCTCTCATTCTAAAAAAATTCTTTAACTCACTGCTTCCTCTTTTCATCTAAACTCCTTCAAAGCGCAGCCCATACCCACGCTTCACTGTCCTCAGGGCAGCCCTATCCCCTTAACTTGTCTCAATCTGGCTCCGTCTACCACTTCACTGAATCACTCCCGCTAAGATCACCAGGGACCTAAGAGCCAAATCCAAACACTTACATTGTCTGCAGCATGACACTGTTATGTCTTTCCTCCTCCTTGAAACGCTATTACTTTTCCCCCCCGCAAAGTCTTTTCTCTGCTTCTGACTTAAACTTTAAGTCCTCACAGGTCTTTGTGACCTCAACCATTTTCACAATTTTAACTACTGCATACTCATGCTAATGCCATTCAAATTTTTATCTTTCCGTGTTTTCACATGCACATTCAGTTATCTACCCATCATCTCCTGGATTCTGCAGGTGCTTTAAAATTCAACACATCCAAACCTCAATTCTTCTCCCCAATACGGTTCTTTGTCCCCAATTGCCAACCTCAATGATATCACCACCCAACCTGACACAATTGGGAATCCAGCCCCTGCCTCCTACTTCCCCCTTACTTCCCACAACCAGGTCTTATTTCATTTCCTAAATAAAATTCACACTTATTTCCTATCTTCAGAGATTTCTTATTTCAGACCCTTTTTCCTCTTGCTATTGCCTAATTACCTAAGTTACCAAACTGGTGTTTGGTGGAACCAGTTGTTAGACGTTTCTTTTGAAAAAGGACTTTAGAGGCGCCTGAGTGGCTCAGTCAGTTAAGCATCCAACTCTTGATTTCAGCCCAGGTCATGATCTTAGGGTTTTGAGATTGAGCCCCAAGTCAGGCTTGGTGCTCAGTGTGGTGTCTACTTAAGATTCTCTCTCCTTCTCCCTCTGCCCCTCACCCCGCCCCCAACCTGGTACACACACATGCACTTTCTCTCAATTAAAAAAAAAAAACAAAAACAAAAAAGTCTTCTATAATCAAATATATTTGAGAAGGGCTGCATAACCCATGCTTGTCTTGGAAATTCAGAATGACTGGTAGCTTGCAGTAGCCCCGAGAAATCATATAAAGAAACCTGCTTAACTTTATTTAAGCCAGGGTTTCCCTTACTTTTGTCTCAGAACTATTTCAGTAAGGAAAGTGGAGGAAGTTTTTATTTTTTATTTAAAAATAAAAAACAATGCTCCTCAGAAGAGTGCGGCATCATCTTTAATTCCCATGCATCTTCAAACTGCTGTTCCATATTGAACATTCATGATCTAACATGCAACCGTCAACATGTTTCCATTCTTCAACCTTTTATTAGCTATTCCCTGAGGAAAAAAGAACCAGCTCCATGCAACATGGCTTTTAGGACCTGCTCGCAGTCTTCTTGCTGCCATTGCCTGATGACATTCCACCAATCTGAATCTGATTCTGGCATTCCCCAAGCTATCTCTCTCACACCCTGGGCTCTACTTCTGCTTATACAGTTCCCTCCACTTTGAGGACCCTTTATCTTCCTCACCTTATTCACCAGTTTCCAACTAGTACCTCAAGACTTAGCTTAGGTGTTAGCTCTTTAAAGGACTTTTGACCCCGGTTTTCTCTTCTTCCCCAAACATAGGCTACATTCCCTAAGCAGTCCTGTCACAGAATGCAAAATCCAGTATTAAAATCTCTGCTTGTATGTCCTCTATTCTCATTCTACTATTAGTTAAGGGCTCTTTCTTTACTGTTTTATTCCCATAGCACTCAAGCCATAATTTATGAACTCAAGTGGTACTGCAGTGGTCCTTTGCATAACAATCAGGCAGGGTCTTCTAGAATAAATCTGACACCTCAGCTTTTCTCTGATTTTACCTCTCAAGTCACAGTCTGGTTGAACTCAGGACTTATCTATGCATGTTTTACCAGGGAGGCATAATATAGTCTGGAGATAAACATTCATATGCTCTTAAATATCTGACCGGGGGGGGTGGGGTGGGAGGAGGAGGTGCACTTTCTGATAGCCCCACTGTGCACTTGCAATGCTCACTAGCTTTTCTCTCCATGGCTTCCTCAGGCTCTTCTCTTAGCAAGGTAATAGGACAACAAAGGGATTAAGACCATAGATTCTGGTTCAAAGCCCAGCTCTATCATTTATTTAAAGATCTGTAATTTTGGGCAACTCACATGTCTCCTTGGACTCATCTATATATAAAATGGGCCCAGTAATGGCTCCCTACCTTATATGGTTGCTGTAATCCATAAATATGGCTAAGTACCTCAGTAAATATTTGCTGCTCCAGTTATCATGAATTAGGATATGCCGATGGCTTCTGATCAAGTGATTTATAATATTTCCACATTTAACCAAATGTTAAAATGCTCCCATTTATTATCCATCTCTTTCTAGTGCCTTATCCTGCTTTGTTTATTTTTCTCTCCCTCCAGAGAATACTAGTTCCATGAAGATAAAAGTTTTGTTTTGTTCAGTGCTGAAAGCAGGAGCACCCAGAATAGTATTGTACATATTAGGCCCTCAGGAAATACTTGTTGGAGGACAGTGGAGAGTAGCAAAAAGAAATCTCAATAGTTTCAATACAATAAAAAGAATGAATAATCTTTCTCTAGTGGCTCCCAATATTATATTTTAAAACACCATGTGCCAGAATGAAAATGTAAGAAATTTATTAAAATTTGAAGGCAAAAACATAATTTCAAAATATTTAGACCTATGTCAGGTGTGATACAGTATGGATGCTTTCTTGAAATTCAAAATCGGAACCAAGAGTATCACTTTCAGAATGTTCTAGTAGATTCAGTTTACTTTTAGTTGTCTTGGATGAAACAGTCACTATTCTACTTTCTTTCTGGACAGAAACGTGTTTTTTCAAAGACTCACTTTTAACTGGTTCATTAACAAAGGAATCATTTTGCTCCATTCCTTTACTTCTCCAATTTACAAGTGAGTCAGAGCAGGAACGCAGGTCCTTTCTGGGCTGTTTTTTAGCACAGCATTTTTTGGTATATTCACCTGTTTTGGTCATTTTCTCTGAAGAAGATCTGCTATTTCTAGACAATTCATCTTCTTTTTTTTGGCTTCCAGTTCCAGACATCACATCTGCTGAAGGAGAAGATGTTCTTGCAATGAATTCTTTGATAGAGTCCTGCCGCTGCTCACTGACTGGGACTCCCAGGTTGTCTCTAGAAGTTTCTAAGGGCTCCTGAGTGGAAACAGGGACACGGAAAGAGTCGAGAGGCAAAGGAATTCTAGCATCACCTGTAATTTTCTGAAACTGGAGGGAAAAACAAAAGGAGACAAAACAAAAATTCAGTGATGAACAAAGCCAATCATTAAAAAAAGTCAATGACTTCAATGCTACTCTGTGATCTTATTATTAAGATAATCAATTGATTAATCAGAAGAGTTTAGATCCAGTGTTTTTCTAACTATATTTTGCCAGTTGATTCCCAACCTGACTTAGCTTTATCCACAGCAACGTCTAGTACATTTTTAGAGTTTGTGTTTGGGATGATTTTTGCCCATTTCCCGTTCCTTCATTAAAAATAATAAAGCCCGGGGCACCTGGGTGGCTTAGCGGTTGAACGTCTCCCTTTGGCTCAAGGTGTGATCCCGGAGTCCTGGGATCAAGTCCTGCATCAGGCTCCTGCGGGGAGTCTGCTTCTTCCTCTGCCTATGTATGCCTCTCTCTCTCTCTCTCTCTTTCTCAAATAAATAAATAAAATCTTAAAAAAAAAATAAAGCCCTATTCCCTAAGAAAATTCATTTCTTTTCTATCCTCCAGGAACATGTAAGTAGTATCCAATTTGTGAGGAGACTGAAGCTAGCCAAGATCGGAGAGGAAGAGAAGTCTCCAAGGAAGGCCAGGAGAAAAGCAGATGGGTTGTCCCCTCTTGCTCCCATAACTGGGAGGTTAACTATAACATACGATTGCTTCTGTTGGGATTACTTATTTTAAAGAATTATCTGTATCCGTACTTGTACCTTCATTAGTGTTCCTTCATTGTAAGCTGACTGCATACAAATAGAAACCTAGATGAAATATGAATAGAATAGACCATTTACACAATTTAAAATTTGGAATGTTTTCTCTAATGTTTCATTTCTTTCTTTACTGAGGATAGCTTGCTTTAAATCGTAAATTTTCATAACACCTTCCAACTTTCTTATTTGTAACTATACAATATCATGAAGTGGGTATAAACGTACTGATTTCAGATTTGGAAAGGACCCCAAGAGGCTCCCAAGCATGCGAGTTGTTAGAGACGGAGCATCATTATTTTCTGACTTGGTAATTCCCTTTTGGTTAATAACTCTCAGGATCATTATGTTCTGTCCTGTCCACTTACCTGGATATTTTGCATCTGTCCTAAGGGGTTCTGCTTTGATTCTGGTTTTTCTTCTTCAAGTGCCTTTTTTTCATCCTTAGGCAGACTACTAATAGTAGAATTCATCTGGGGACGACCCAGTAAATGGAAATCTGACTGATCTATACCAGCCATTGTGGCAAGCTGCCCAAGCCTGGACAAGAGGAAGAAAGAGGGAAAAAGCAAAGGCTATTATAATTGCATATGAGCAACTTAGATTTCCCCATACCTACAATCATGAAATACCTCTAAAATCTTAAAAGCCAAGACCCTACACCAGACATAAGCCCCCATTCTCTCCCAATCCTCAGCCCTTTCAGATTCATGCTCTGGGATATCAGCCTGTGCGATCGTTGAAAGCACCCCCTTTCCTTCCCCAATAACGTAAATGTGTCAGCTTCTAGTACACACCCAATGCATCACCTACCTTTCACCTTACCTCTTTTTTACCACCTTTCCTCCTGTTTCCAAAAACGTGTTTTCCCCTAAGAAGCAGCTTTACCATTTTGCATTTCTTCTAATTCTTCATCTTAATAAAACCCTAAATTACATGCTAAATAAGACTATGGAAACTATGAAAATTGCTCACATTCCTTAGCAAACCATCATTATGGATAAAGAGAATAATGCCATCAAGTGAAATTAACTAACCCAGCGTCTTTAAGAAGGTCCAAGAAAGCATGGAACTTCTGAAAAGAATTCTCAATGCTGCCCAGAACACCTTCATCATCCAGGATCATGTTTGTCAATGACTGTGCATGCAGGGCTTCAGACAAAGAGAAGTTTATATTTCTTAACTGGGCGTTCTCATGTTCCAGCTATAAAAGAAGGTTGAAAACGTCTGACATGATTATCTTTCACTGTCATCAAAAGAAAATAGTTTTTAAGCAACAAAACTTAAATAAGACATTTCAAATGTGACTAATTTGTAATTAAATTAACTTTCTGCTAGTAAAGACAGAGACCATATCACATAATAATCACAATCCAGTGACACCCAACAAAGTTTCCTATCTAACACTCAGGTGGTATATCAATAAACCAAAGTTACTGTTTTATTAAGGGTCTTTCAAAAGATCACTTTTTTCTAGTTGGTTATACTCAAAACAGACCCTCCCTTACATTAGAAAATTATTTGCTTACATTTCCCTTTAAATTAGAAATACAGTCTGATTTGAGCAAAGCATATTCTAACTTGGCTGGATGTTTAAGGATTAACTTTACTGACAAAATATTAAATGTCTAAGTTTAAAAGTCCTAAATCATCCCCAACTTATTAACTCTACGATGACCAATATTCTCCTTGGCTTCTTGAAAACGTTTCCTCCCTTGCATGGCCCCTCCCCCTTACCACCTATTCATCTAAAACTACAGATAAGCCAGACTCTAGTAATTTCTCAGAAAGGCCCTTTTGTTCATGGTGCACCTTTTACCTTAACAGGTGCTCAACCTTTACTGAATGAGGTAAGCATCCTTCAATCCAATACATGCACCTGCAGAAATTCCTCCCTAAACTTACCTTATAATAATAAATTATATTTATATACAACTTTTGAGCTATGTCCTGCACATTAGCTTAATGTAATTCTCATAGTATTTTTTTTATCTTTCACTGCATTCTTAGCAGTTTTCTAATACTCTATACTTATTTAAATTATTCAGTGCCAGTAAAGAGTTTCACATCTCTCATGTTACTATATATGCAGTATAAGCCTAAGTGCTTTCTTGAATTGAAACATCATGAACAGAAAATAAGCTAATGTCATATAAGAATACATATACACCAAAAAATCCCCTAAGATTTTTACTTTTTTTTTTTTTTAAGTATGCTTCATGCCCAGTGTGGAGCCCAACATGGGGCTTGAACTCTGAGATCCAGGAACTGAGCTGAGATCATGGGGTAGATACCTAACCCTGAACCGACCAAGCCACTCAGGTGTCCCTAAGAGTTTTACATTTTAAAAACGTTTTCTGGAATAGAGATCACATGACCACTAAATAACGGTAAATACAAAGGTTCATATGAATGGTACAACCAATTTATAATATGTTAGTTTTAAAGTTTATATCCTGCATGTGCATGGCTTAAGATCAAATAAAAATAAGACCAAAACACTCAAAAAATAAGAAAAAACTTGTTTACCTCACTGACTCGTTTATCAGCTTTAAGCCTTATTACTCTTTCTTCCTTTAACTGTTTTAGGCAATCCTCCAGTTTTTCCTAGTGTGAAGAAATACAGTATGTATTACAAACAATTCTTAGTATAATATCCAAAAGCCTTTCCAGTTACAGATCTCACCAAGGATTCAGGCGCAGAGCCAGAAGTAAACTTAGACTTCAGGATTATAGTTTATTATGATATCATACCATGCTAGTGAAATTAATTATCCAAAATACAAAATTAACATATTAAAAATTTATTTGAATCCTATGCTTTCCAAAATAAATATGTGGCATCTCACCATAAAAGGCCTATGTGTAAAATATACTAAGTCAGAAATAAAAAACTAAGGCCATGAAAGGAAAGTTCTACTTTTATTTATGGGTCCCTTTGTAATAGAAAACCTTAATTAATATAGTTGACCCACCCAAATTATGTAACTATAGATTCAAATGTATTTTTTAAAAAGCAAACGTTTATAAAGCACTTTACTATGTGCCAAGCCCTGTCCTAGTATGAATTTCCTGAGTATTAAATCATCAAAACCCAACAAGGAGGGATCCCTGGGTGGCGCAGCGGTTTGGCGCCTGCCTTTGGCCCAGGGCGCGATCCTGGAGACCCGGGATCGAATCCCACGTCGGGCTCCCGGTGCATGGAGCCTGCTTCTCCCTCTGCCTATGTCTCTGCCCCCTCTCTCTCTCTCTCTCTCTCATAAATAAATAAAAATTAAAAAAAAATTAAAAAAAAAACCTACAAGGAAAGAACAATTATTAACTCCATGTCATTTTATAGGTGAGAAAACAGAGACAGAGAGTAGGACACCTAAGATCATGTCACCTAAGATCATTAAGTGGTAGAGCCACATTTTGAACTCAGGAAACTGGGTGCCATGCCTGTTCATAGAAGTGGTAATCTTCCCATTCACTGATGTCAATAAAATAGAAGGCACGTTGGTAACCCTCCTTTGATTGCCAAAAAAAGCAAGTCCTTACAGTGGGGAACGTTACCTATGGCTGGCAGTCCCCCGACTGACAGCCAGCAAGGAAAGGAGGTTCTCTGTCCTACAACTCCAGGAACTGAATTAGGCCAATGAGCTGTATCAGTTAGGAGCCGATTCTTTCCCAGAGCCTTATGATAAGAAAGAACACAGCCTGATTGACATCCTGATGTCAGCTTTATGAGACTAAGCAGAGAGCCTCGTCATGCCATACCTAGACTTCTGACCTCCAAAACTGTGAGCACATCAACAGGAGTTTTTATTTTAAGATCTTATTTATTTATACATAGAGAGAAAGATAGTGAGCACAAGCAGAGGGAGCAGCAAAGGGAGTGGGAGCAGCAGCTCCCCCTCTGAGTAGAGACCCCAATGTGGGGCTCAATCCCAGGACACTGAGCCATCCAGGTCACAACAGGCATTGTTTCAAGCCACTAAATTCACAGCAATAGAAAATTAATATACTATGCAACCCCCAGGTTCATGAACAAAATAAATGATTTTTATTGTTTTAAGCCACTGTTTTGGGGTGGTTAGGCAGCAATAAATAAATACCTATATTTATTAAGACAACAAGGTATATTTATACATTTTAAAGGCTTTTGAACAATCACTTAAACAAAGAATTTCAACTTAAAGTTTAGTTTACCCGTGGTATGTGTGGGTTGAGGGGGAGAACTCTATTATATGCTGTCATTGAAAGAGGAAAGTAGTAACAGTTTCTGGACAGTGATTTTTAGTACATATCAACAATCCTACACCCAGGAATTTACCAAGGAAATTCCCAAACATGTGGGCAAAGATTTATCTATCAACATGTCATATAGAACTGTTTATAACTAAACCCTAGAAGCTAAGAGCTTCCAAATTCAGTTGCTTTAAATAAAAACAGCATTCTCATACGAAGGAATGCTCTACGAAGCCACTAAAAAACACTGACAAGAGGTCTTTACCAGAGTTAATGAATGGGTTTCAGGAGTTCGATATTCAAAATGTATCTGTGTGTTTTTCTTGGGAGATAGTCCATAAGCTTCATCTAAGAGTCTCTGATATAGAAGAGTATTTAGTGACACAATAAACTATTTTTGATACCTTTTTAAGACAAAAGGGTAGATTAGGTGTGTGTATATAGAGAGGTGGTTTTTGTTTTATTTATTTTTGTTTTTATTTTAATAAGTTTTTCATTGTTTTAAAAAATTTGATCAATGAACATACTTTTTATGCTCAGAATATATACTCAAAAATTAAAAACTAGTCTAATAATTTCAAATTCTTTAATGTTTAATCACTAGTTGAAGCCAGCCAAAATTTTAATGGGGACAAAAGAAAAAAAAATTATAAAACTCTTCTACTTATTTATATAATGGTTTTAATATTTAAAACTTATTTCACAGAAATTCTAAACATAATTTTAGAATAAGTATACATACAAGAAACTCTCACCACAATCAGAGAAAGTACAGACTGAAATGCTCCATTCTTGACTAGCTCTAACATACAAATAAAATAGTACAATGTGCAATTACATGAAATAGCTTCTCCCTCTAGTGGAGGGAGTGAGAATATCATGTTGGATTCTTTTTTTTAATTATTTTTTATTTTTTATTTTTTTTATCATGTTGGATTCTGATAAAAGTATACTCTCCTCCTACAAAGTAATTTGTGCTCCTTAAAAAAATATGGGACCAGAACATTAGAAAGTAAAATTGCTTGACATTCTGTTACATAAATTAGACAAATGATCAAGTTTTGGATAAATTTTCCTTCTTGTCATCTGGCTTTGCTTCCTCTTCCATACAATGGCTAGTTCGATTTTTTTTCTGGAATAAAGCTCCTATCATACTGTATCTCTAATTTTATATTCAAATTTTTTCCATTTAACATTGGATCGATCATTCTTTACATAGGGGATTCATAACCTTGATTTTTTTAATGGCCTACAAAATATTCTATTGAGCAGGTCTGTCAGTTCATGTAATCATTCCTTTATGGTTAAACATTTAAATTCTTTCCAACTTTTCAGTATTGTAAAACAAAATATTTTTATGAACAAAGGCTTTTTCCTATGTAGAATAACTGTCTTGCAATAAGTCAATAAAAATGAGTTTGAGCTCAAAGCAAATGAACATTTTGCAGGTTCTGTGATACTGATCTCCACACTGCTTTCCAAAAGATTCCTAAGATTTCATTTTATTATTTTTTTAAGATTTTATTTATTTATTCATAAGAGACACAAAGAGAGGCAGAGACACAGGCAGAGGGAGGAGATGCAGGCTCCATGCAGGAGCCCAATGCGGTACTTGATCCCGGAACTCTAGGATCACGTCCTGAGCCGAAGGCAGATGCTCAATAGCTGAGCCACCCAGGTGTGCCAATTTCTAAGATTTTATTTTTTTAATTTTTTTTGATTTTTTATTTATTTATTTAGGATAGTCACACAGAGAGAGAGGCAGAGACATAGGCAGAGGGAGAAGCAGGCTCCATGCACCGGGAGCCCAACGTGGGATTTGATCCCAGGTCTCCAAGGATTCGATCCCGGGTCTCTAGGATCGCGCCCTGGGCCAAAGGCAGGCGCTAAACCGCTGCGCCACCCGGGATCCCCCAATTTCTAAGATTTTAGACTGCTTTCAGCACTGTATCACTTGGTATATAACTTCTACTATGACTGTTGGCTTGCTTCCTCATTTTAAAATACAAGAAATCTAGGGGACAGGGCATATTTTATCCCAGCACATGTCCCTAGCACAAAGCACATTGGTAAGTAATCGCTGAATAAGGAAAACCTGTGTCAAAACAAGATCTATGTGTATAATTAATAGTTATATTTTTCTTTCAGAGCGTATTTTAAAAATTCAAAATCTCTGGCGCTACCCCTTAGCTATATAGCCTTGGACAAGTTCAGTAACTCTCAGCCTCAATTTCTTCATCTCTAACAAGAAGATAGGTTCCCACATCACACAGCTTTTTTGAGGATTACATGAATTAATGCACACCTAAAACTCAGAACTGAGTGCTTGGTATGTAGAGTATGTTCAGTTAGTGCTAATGAGGGATGCCTGGCTGGCTCAGCAGTGGAGCGTCTGTCTGGCTTTGGCCCAGGGCGTGATCCTGGAGTCTCAGGATCGAGTCCCACGTCCAGCTCCCTGCAAGGAGCCTGCTTCTCTCTCTGCCTATGTCTCTGCCTCTCTCTCTCTGTCTCTCCTGAATAAATACATAAAAATCTTTTAAAAAAAATTAGTGCTAATGAATATATGTGAATGCAAATAGCAATGAAGGACTTGAAATAATCTCAACTCACACATCCAGCCTCCTAGACGCAACGTTTCTTCAGGCAGGTATGATTTTTTTTTCTTAAGTCATCTCTACACCCAACATAAGGCTCAAATTCACAACCCTGGGATTAAGAGTTGCATGCTCTGCCAACTGAGCCAGGTGCCCCCATAAGCTGGTTCTAATTGTAAAATATGATATGTGTACTAAAAGTACATCTTTACACGCATGCATCCCTAAATATTCCCTTTGGTTTTGTCAACTCCTAACTTCATGTAAGGAGAATCACAGTATATGCAGTCTTCTAGTCAAAATTGTTTTTTTTTTAAGATTTTATTTATTATTCTTTTATAAAGATTTTATTCATGAGACACACACAACGAAAGGCAGAGACACAGGCAAGAAGGAGAAGCAGGCTCCATGCAGGGAGCCCAATGTGGGACTCGATCCCAGAACTCCAGGATCACACCCTGAGCCAAAGGCAGATGCTTAATTGCTGAGCCACCCAGGCATCCCTCAATATTGTTTTTAAAAACTCATCTACATTGTTGCCAGTAGCTCTAGGTCATTAAATTTTATTGCTTTATAGTTTTTGCACTGTATGAATACAAATAATTTTAAAAAGGATTTTATTTACTTGAGAGTGCACATGCACACAAGAGCTGGGGGAGGGGCAGAAGGAAAGGGAGAAGCAGACTTCTTGCTGAGCAAGGAGCCTGATGCGGGGCTCGATCCCAGGACCCTGAAATCATGACCTAAGCCGAAGGCAGATGCTTAACCAACTTAGCTATAGGTATCCCTGTAATTTAATTTTTAATACTTAATGGACATTTGGGCTGTTTTCAGCTGGTGCTAATGCAAGTAACACACGTGTCCTGTTGTACCAGCTAGTAGTATTCTAGTAGTATTCTATTATACTATTCCATAATAGTGTAATAGAATCTATTCTATTCTAGTACTAGTACTATTCTAGTACATATACTGGGTGGGCAGGGGAGAGGAAAACTCATCCGGTCACAGGGTATTTATACACTTTCAGCTGATAAACAATGCTGAAGGCTTTCCAAAGTTAGCTATGTCAATTTATATGCCCGTATAAGCACAGGGTGTGAGATTCCTATTATTTTCCAGGTCTAGGACTCCTGTTATCAGACTTCTTTTTGTTAATGTGATTGGAATATAGGGATTTCATATTGGCTTTAGTTCATTTTTCTCTAATTAGAGTAAATGAGATTGGACACTTTTCTATGTTTACTAGCTGTATGGATTTCTTTTTTTCTTTTCTTTTCTTTTTTTTTTTAAGATTTTACTTATTTATTCATGAGAGACACAGAGAGGTAGAGACCTAGGCAGAGGGAGAAGCAGGCTCCTATGGGAAGCCAGATGTGGGACTTGATCCTGGGACCCTGGGATCACACTCTGAGCCGAAGGCAGACGCTCAACCACTAAGCCACCCAGGTGATCCTGGATTTCCTTTCTTAATGAGGCTTTAGCCCTTCTTATTTTTAATTCTTCTCCATTTCCAAACTTATGTGTACATGTCATGATGAAATTTTAGACATTAATTTCCTACTTCAATAAATATTAGTTTAACTACACTTTTTCCTATGACCACTACTCTCAGTGAAGTCACACCACCAGTAGTTTTTCCACTGGTCATGACCTCTTCCACTTGCAGTGATATTCTTAAAAGTCTGTATTGTTTATCAACCATAAACTCTCTCAACACCCCATTTTGGGAAATGAAGACATTCATGTCTTTTTCCCTTCTTTCTACCTCTCGTTTACCTTTCACACTCAGCTTTTATGTTGTCAAAACTGCTATTTACATTTTGTTGTTTTCGGTTGAGAGGCACTAACATCAAATAGTCCGTGGTCCTACCAGGTATCTGTTTTACTTTTCTTTCTCCCCTGTCAGGTTGTATGCTCTACTCAACTCTCAGGCAAATCATGGTTATTTTCTACCTAGGAAGGAGAGCAGAAAGCTTCCTGGAAGCTCATGACTGATTGGCTTCTCTTATGTGTAAAGAGGCTGGCAGTCAATTATAAAAGGGAACCCCCAAATACTCTTGTCTAGAGATCAGGTTTATTAGGCAATATAACACCCTAGATTAGGCTATTAATCTAACATAGGTTCTTGAGTTTTCTTATTTTGGGAAGGGAGACTGTCAACACCAAAACCTTATTTTCAACTTTATGCTTATAAAAAAATGAAATTGTATTTTCCTTTTAACAAAAGGATAATTCAGCTAGGATTGCCAATTTCCTGGTCTTTACAGTAAGTACACTGAATCAACTGACTACGTTCATTCAGAACTCCGTTTCCTTGAGTTTATCTAAAGATCACTAAGGTTCTCCCTACGTCTAATAGTCTATCATCCTAAGGAAAAGAAAATATATTACTGTTGACATGTTTTGATTTTTATTTCTCAGAATTCAAATGTCTACTCTTGACTTAGACAGCCAAAGAATTATTGAGGGGAAGACAGAACCCATGTGCATGCTCATCCAGTGCCATAATCAGATTTCTGCCCAATAACTACCACCACTGAAAAATAATTTCTGGCTCTTTAAAATGGTAACTTAGTACCTGTAGTGCTTCTTGTTTTAAACTGGTTTTCTCAGGTTCTTCTTGAACACTTTCAGAAGAATCGTCGACCTCTTCAATTTCTGAGGAGGAAGGACTCTCCACTGTCACAGTAACAGGAAAATCCGATTGCTTAGAAAAAGAAGACAAGGTTGTAGAAGAGATACCAAATATTACAGGACATTTAACAAAAGTGATCTGGGGTATCAAGTCATTATTTATAAATGTCCTCCACTGCTTAGTTTAAAACAAGCAATAACAAAGTAAAATGACAGTGACTTATTTTTGCTGTCACTGTATAGAATTCTCTCGTTAAGATTATTATTAGGAATCATCCATATTATTTTATTAACTTTCACATAAACCAAGTGAGGAGCCAGGGCAAACACTTTTCTCAGATCAACTTTATACTGCAGATGAGAAATTTATTTTCCACTGTCAGGCACAAAAAATCTGGAAGAAAATTTAGTTTTTGGAGGAAAATTCATCAGGAGGGGGCTGATAAGAATTAGAAGAATAATTAGAAGCCAACATATCTAGCAGAAAAAAAACCATGAAAATTAAAAAAAATAAGACATAATACACAGCTAAAACCAACCCATCAAAAACCTCATTATATCATCCTTAGGCTACCTTGAACCCAAACTACTGTAATGGTCATACAATTCTGTCAAGTTTCGCTGTCACTGGAATGTATGTAGTTCAGTATGTTGTTCCCAAACATTTGAAAACTGACCTGATCACAAACCCATACAAAGTCTATAGGTCAAAAAGAGGAATGCTGGGATTATACAACTGCACAGAAGACAAGTCACTAAGACATCATTTCAACCATGGACAATAAATCCCACAGTACAGGAAAATCCCAATGGTAGGATGAGGTGCACGGCCCTTCTTCTGGGCATGCAGGGGGCAGGGCTCACATCTGGGATGCTGTTCTCTCAATCCAGCAATGTTACCTTACTCAGAGCAACTATGCAGTCTCCCAGGACAATGTGGAAGGAGAACCTGACATTCTGATGGGACTGGATGGTTCAAAGGCCATGAGGCAGTAGGACAGGAGTATGTATACTCTGGGACTGGCTTCTTTATTTTGCCTTTGGGATCTGGAACTTATACCTTTCTTGAAAACATAAGGACATGCCTGAGAATGATAACTCAAATAACCTTTCTTGAAAACATAAGGACATGCCTGAGAATGACAGCTCCATGTGTTGGGTCCAGAATGGAAGTCAAATTCATTTCACTGGGTAACAGAGGATATATGGACTCTGAGAAATGACTTCCCTGTTTACAGATGAAACCACAAGGTCCCCAGCATGTGTCATACCCACAAACCCATAGTGTCATTGGGATAGCAACCAGACAAATTATAAATGGATTTATTTCAGAGAGGGAAATGTTTCCTGTAAGGCTCTGCATAGTTTGAAAAACAAAGAGAATACCCTCCCGTCTTTTCCATTTAACCTATATATTGTAAATATAAGAACTACGTACCTGCATATGATTATATACATCACGAGTTTTGATTAATGGAAAACCCCTAAAGAAATACCAACAAATTAAGTCATACTTTAATGTGAACATCACCAGTTAACACCAGTTTTAACAAAATTTGCTAGCATTATGTACAGCAATACTATTAATAATACATATGGGGACACCTGGGTGGCTCAGTGGTTGAGCATCTGCCTTTGGCTCAGGTCATGATCCCGGGGTCCTGGGATTGAGTTCCGCAGTGGTCTCCCCACAGGGAGCCTGCTTCTCCCTCTGCCTATGTCTCTGCCTCTCTGTCTCCCATCAATCAATAAATAAAATCTTAAAAAAAAACATATAAATTGCGTATAAATATAAGTAAGTTCAAAATATGGATCTGGGAGGCTATGTTATGGAGAAAATTGAACAGGATTTAGCAGACTAGTTTGTCATAACTCTGAACTGTTGAGGGGCGCTCTCACTTTCTATGTTCAAGATGGTTTCGAATCCAATCTAACTTCTTTGACCGATAATTACTCTCCAATTGACAACTCTTTGTGATCAGAACAGTCTTGATTAGTAAGTGTCAGAAAAAGAAGATATGTAATCACAAAGTCATAAACCTAAAATGCAAAGACTGGGGCCTGGGAACTAGAGTTTATGCAATAATAATTCACATCATCATCTGCAATGGAGAGTATATTCATCAATTCAATGCGAGTGACCGCGAGTGACAGTTATTTTACATAGTACCTGCCTCAAGTCTTCTTTAAAATCAATTCTTTGTTTTCTTAAGCAATTATTAACCCCAATTTCTTGAATACTACCAAGTAAGTTACTTGAAAATAACCTATAGCAAACAGATTCCCTCAGCAGGCCTAAAATTATAGTTCGACCATTTAAAGAGACTTTTATACTTCTAGGATAAAAATTGCTATGCACAGCTAACCCCCTGGGTAAGTAATCAGATAAAGGTTCTTAAATCTCATTTGATTTCCTAAATCTGATTCACTAAAATGAATTAAGCCAGTTGACTGAGTTAGACTAAGTATAATCCATACTCCCCATCCATTGTGCACTAAACTATTCCCCATGCCTAAAATGTCTTCCCTTTTTCTTATATATCCAAGTTCCTCCTCTTGCATGTAGGGCCTGGCTCAATTACACCCACCTCTAATGACACCTTTCTCACCTGTATAAGTGGAGGTAATTTTATCTTCTCCTGACACCCACAAGGTTACATTTGTTGTGACACTTAAGGAAATAACTCCCAATTATAATTATTTTTTTTGTTTTTCCTCCTTCGAGGACTCATTAGGCAGAAGCTATGTGTGAGTTATTGTTTTTCCGCTATAGAAACTACTAGAGACCTCCCACAAAATGGAAGCTCCAATATGAAAATGTCGGAATGACGAAAGACAGGGAATAAATATACTCCACCTGCTCCTGTTTGCACGTTCCGCTGTGCGCCAAGGCAGGTAACCAGACACGCCAGGAGGGAGAGGTTCAGGAGCATAATATTCTTTACCAAGGGAGTGTATTCTTCCATTACTTACAGGTTTCTTTGTGGTCACTCCTATGTTTGCGAAAGCATTAAAGGAAAAAATCAAGATGCACTAAATGGTGACAGAGCAATCCTCACATGTTCACATTTTTAAAAGAATAAAACAGGCACCTGTCAGTGATGCAAGGCCATTAATAAAAGAATCATTTTGTAAAAATGCTTTTACATAGGCTAGCAACGCTTAAAAATAGAAGTTTTCATATAGTCATAAATTACCATTTTAACTAAAATATAAGTATATGAGATGTGCAAAACATGCAAAAGTAAATAAAAACTATATCCCAGAGAATGAACACTCAGTTGATTGAATCTCAGAATATCTTTGGTATTTCTGGATTTCAAAGAGAAACACTGATAACATCCATGATTTCTGCCAAAGAGAATCTGAATTTTCAAGATCAAAAGTTCCATTTAAGATTAATTTCTCTGTATAAAAATAAAGTAACAGGACTGAAAGTTGCTAAATGGAAGGTTACCCTCTATAAGTCAACTTTCATTGCTTATTTGATTTCATTTAAAAACAAAAAAACAAAACCCATTGGATAAAAAAGCAAGATATGGAGACTTAGCCGACATTTCAATACTAAAGTGTCAAGTATCCTTATATGAAATATTTAGTAGCAATAACTAGACTTACATGCTAATATACTTGACTTAAAACAAACCATATATTGACATTTAAAAATGTCAAAATATTGAAATTGACATTTAAATATTTTTTCTGTTACTGAAAAGAAGTAATACAGGTTTGTTATATTTATTCTTCTAATCTATTTTATGACACTACCTTAGCAGCACTAGGATAGCATGAGATATAAAGCACATATGGGGTCATAGAGGGCCAATACTTCATATAGTGTAGCTTATTGATAATCACCACATGACCCTGTGTGTTTCTCTGGATAAATCTGTACGCCTCTTAAAATACATCGAAGCTTCATTCATCTTGTGCTATATTTTGTTTTTTAATATAATCTCAAGGAAAAAATGTTCTTATACATGTGTTTATATGTGTATACCTTTCCCTTTACTTTTAAGAAAATAATGCTAATGCCATTTGTAATTAAATCCAAGAGTTCACACTTATTAGGAGATAAAATTCCCATTAAAGTTCCTGTCTTCTTTCTGCCCACATGATTACCATATGAATGTGACACAACTCACACAATTATTTAACCCCTATACTCACCTGGATCTAACTATATAGCCAGACTCTGATTTGGCTTACCTCTATGTCTCCATATAACTGAGGCAAATACAAAAAAAAGCCCAAGAAATAAAATTACTCTTAAAATAGCTCAGTGAGCTTATATTAACTTCAGTCACATTTCCACTTTGTTTAATCATACTAAGAAGAATATTTTCTTTATTCTCATTCCATGAAGTCTTATTATATACTACCAGGTACTAAAATTACAGAAAACATAATATAATAAATGTGTATTTTACCTACATATATATATTTCTATTCCTAATATTTTATCAAAATACCAACTGAGTTCTAAGAACGTTTCACACATGGTGTAAACTTTTAATAATAATATATAATTAGCGTGACATCAACAAATCTCAACCTCTTTGTATATACTATTTGACTACTAAAATATCAGTTCTAAAATAAAAATTGGTAGAAAAAATTGTTAAGCTTTTGATTTAATAAATACTCTCAACTTATATTTAATATTTTGTTGACCAAACAAGTTAATGGAGAATCAAAAACATTATCTTTTAATAGTAAAATAAGAAATTGTTTTTATGAAAATGTCTACGATACCATTAAAAAAATTACAGAATATTTAGGTTATTTTGAATTTTTATCTATCTATCTATCTATCTATCTATCTATCTATCTATCTATCTATTTATTTAAAGTAGGCCCCACACCCAATGTGAGCTTGAACTCATCACCCTGAGATTGAGAATTGCATTTTCTACCAACTGAGCCAGCCAGGTGCCCCAAATTTCTTACCAATTTAAAAAATGGACTGATCAGCTCAATAAAACCTTGTGAATACATTAAAAAGTACGAATCATATAGAATTTTAATTTAAAATGAAGTAAAAGAAGAAAAATGGCAAATTATATTCCAGCTATGTTGAATTATGTCAATATTCCATCCTGTCACCTGTGTGCCTATGCTGTCTATGTTAATAGATGCAGGAAGAAAAAATGAAAATCTTAAGCAAGAAATACATTCAAAATAACGAACTTTTTTATGAAAACAGAGTTGGTTAATTAAAAAAAAAAGGAAATATTAGCATCTCTTTTTTAAATTGTTTCTACATTCTACAAATTCTCAAAATCTGTATCAGAATATTTACAGTCTTTCCGATATGCATGTGATTAATATTGGTTGTCACCATCAGTATCATATAATCGGAAGAGTTTCCGATTTTAGCACATTGGAGTAACATATGGGGCATAAATTCTAGTGGTGTTAAAAAGCCAGGAGAGAAAGAGTTACCAATTCGAATAGTAGCCTTCCCTTTCCGACCACTTCCCAAAATTATAGTTCTCTTTTTCTGTCTAGCATTTTTGAATGGTTCCTTTACTGATGGAGAGGTTATCCACTGGTACTGGAAGAGAAATAATAAATAATCATTTCAGTTACAGGTAGTTTATAAGGATTTGATCTCAATTGGAAATTACAGAATTTTGAGAAAAGCCATTTGTGTTGAATTGATTTAAGATGACAGAAAAGAGCCTTGATAGTTTTATTTTATTAGGGAAAAAAAAAGAAAAGAAAAATACCCAATTAAAGAAAAATTCTTCCTAGAGAACAACAACACGTTACCTCTGACTTGGCACTCCTTCCATTCTGGAGAACTTTTTTGATAACTGCTTTCATCACAGAATGATCTAAAGTAAAGTAAATTGAAATTATAGTAATTGCTTCCCAACAATTGGCTATTCCCATTTAAAAACAAACACCAACTAATTGATGCTTTTCATATAAAATTAAATATAAACCTCACATTATGTAATTATATATCTATTTCCCTCTTTTGAGTATTCTAATTTCTTGCTCAAAAACCTAAGATGAGGGGATCCCTGGTTGGTGCAGCGGTTTGGCGCCTGCCTTTGGCCCAGGGCGCGAGCCTGGAGACCCGGGATTGAATCCCACGTCGGGCTCCCGGTGCATGGAGCCTGCTTCTCCCTCTGCCTATGTCTCTGCCTCTGTGTGTGTGTGTGTGTGTGTGTGTGTGTGACTATCATAAATTAAAAAAAAAAAAAAACCTAAGATGAAAACATGCCCCCTCCCATATTGCCCACAATGACTACTCTTTTGGCAGCAGCAAAGGTCAAATCTAAATACTTTGGATATCTAATGTGGCTTTGGATATCTTTGGACAGAAAACAGAGAGTCTGGGCACTGTCCAGATGCTTAAATACCTAAGGGGCACCTAACCATCAAACCAAAGTCCTGACATTCTCTCAAAGCTGCTCCTCTTCTTAGACTCCCTTTTCACAGTGAGTGGTACCAACCCACTGTATACCTTCTCATCCAGGGCTTACTTCTTTATTACTATTTCCTTCATACCCCACACCTGATCTACCTGCAAGGCTTATTAGCTACACCCTCAAAACGCAACCTGAATTCAACCACTTCACCAGTTCCAACCTTCCATGACCTCACTTCATGTCATGCTCTCCCCCTCTCAGTGCTCTGGCCATGGTGGCCTCCGTGCTTTTCCTTAAACACTCCATCCACCCTGTCACCTATGTGCCTGTGTACGCATGGCCTCCTGATCCCAGAAAGTGCTTCCTCCAGGTCTCCCATGGCCTGCCACTCTCTTCATTCAGCTTTCCTCTCAAAAGTCATTTCTCCAGTGAAGCTGTCCCCTGACATAATCTAATAGAGCCCTACTGGCCCCCTCAGGGTCTTTATTTTATGGTGTTTTCACACTTTCTGCTTTCTAAAATTACACCATTTATCTGCTCCCTCATTTCTACCTGAACTCCTCCACTAGAATGCAAGCTCCACCAAGGTAAGGCTTTTTGTCTATCCGATTCACTGCTACATTCCTAGTGCCTAAAGCCTGTGTCTGGAACACAGAAAGGATTAAAAAATTACTTGCTAAACTGAGAAATGAATGAAATGCTCTTTCCAGGAATGCCGAGGTTGCAGGGAAGGAAGTTATTCTCTTGGGGGAAGCTAGCTCATTATCTAGGTTCACCTTGTCCAGTCAGAGTGGCAACCAAGAGCAATTTACAAATATAACTCATTTTCATTAGTAAATTATCTGCTAAAAACACAAGGGAAGTACAAGATTAGGAAAGTATAATATTAGGAAAGCAAACACATTAGGTTTTAATAAAGTTCTTTTTTTTAATTTTTTTTAATTTTTATTTATTTATGATAGTCACACACACAGAGAGAGAGAGAGAGAGGCAGAGACGCAGGCAGAGGGAGAAGCAGACTCCATGCACCGGGAGCCCGACGTGGAACTCGATCCCGGGTCTCCAGGATCGCGCCCTGGGCCAAAGGAAGGCGCTAAACCGCTGCGCCACCCAGGGTTCCCCACATTAGGTTTTAGAAACCATCAACACATGAACAAATTCTTTGTTTTGCTATTTGTTAATCAATTTAAAAAAAGGTGTGACATACCAACGAGTGGGTTTTTTCTTATATCCAGAATGACCAGAGTTCTATTGGTTTCAAGGGTCCTTAGTAAAGCCTTTGCTCCTTCATTGGTGAGGCCACACTGCTGCAGGTCAAGTGCTTTCAATGAAAGACAAGAGGTCACTTGCCACCTTTACACAGATTTAACATACAGACAATTTTCACGTATTCATGCGTGTGAGGTTTCTGTACAAGAAGTCATGGTAGGTTTTTAATCTTGGGTATTGAAAAAATAAAAACAGAAAAGTATACATACATCCATAATACAAAATCCGATAAGAAATTCTAGGATGTGCCATGATTATCCTGTTATTAGTACTCATAAGTCACCCAGCATATTTTACAATATGTTGAAGAGTAACTATATGGTTTATGAGTGAAAAAAAATCACAAAACGAAGCTCAGTTCATCATCAGCAAGGATACTAGTGGCAGTGTAAAGCTTATATGCAAAACCTAGGTGGAGCTCAGAAACCATGCTGCATTCTTTTGATATGATCTTGAGTTCCAAATCACTCTTAAAACTAGCAAAATAAAGTTAAAAAAAAGCAAAATAGCAGATATGTAATCATTGCTAGTTTTGGAAGAAAAAAGATAAAGAAGTCTAAGAGGATGTATATAATAACAAATCCAAAGAATGTGTGAATAGGGAACATACGCTAAGAACTTTTCATGAAAGAAAGATAGTTAAGAACACTCTCCTTAAAAGGTTTAAGAACAGAAGGAATGATCATCAACACTAGAAGTTTCTGAGGTTGAAGCACCTATTCATTTAAACCAAAGGGATTATCATAAAAGCACAGGTATAAAAAATATTACATAAGTGTTGACTCATATAAGCCCTTTTTAAAAAGTGTTGTGTAAACCATTATATTAAAGTTACTGGGGTCTTTTAAAACCCCACGACACAGAGAAATAAGCCAGATATATGGAAACAATGTGATGTGATCCTTACAAATTCTTACCACTCATGAGATTGTTCCCAGCAACTCTCTTTGAATTTAACCCAAAAAAATAAAGAGACGTTGGCAAGAATGTGTTATCAGAGTACTGTTTTTAGCAGTGAAAAACTGCAAATAGCTCATATATCTAGCAAGAATGAATAAGCTGAGTGTCCTATGGCATATTCATATAATGGGGCAGTCACTAAAAATGATGTGGCAGATGTAAATGCGCTGACTTATCAAGATGCTCCTACTATTAAAATAAGATGCTCATACTCTATTAAATGAAAAAAAGCTATAAAATTTGGAGTAATCCCACTTGCATTAAAAAAAGGAGGGCTGGGGATCCCTGGGTGGCTCAGTGGTTTAGCACCTGCCTTTGGCCCAGGGCGTGATTCTGGGGTCCCGGGATCGAGTCCCATGTCAGGCTAACTGCATTAGAGCCTGCTTCTCCCTCTGCCTGTGTCTCTGCCTCTCTCTTTCTCTCTCTCATGAATAAATAAATTAAAAAAAAAAAAAAGGAGGGCTACTCACTTTTGTAGTTTTACAGTTTTTAAAAGTGACACAAGCCAGCCTTTGTGAGGGGAGAGGCCTCACAGACTGTTAAGGTGGATCATAAATTGGCACAGGATTCCTGAATGGTAATTTGGCAACATGCAACAAAAGTCTTAAAAATACATCACATTATAAACTCCTTCCACTTTTAGTAACTTAATCTATAGAACTAGTACCAATGGTCACAGATATACGTATAATGTGTTCACTACATAATTGTTCACAATAGGAAAAATACAAACTGTGTAAACCTAATTGCAAAGAATGATTAAACTGCTGCACATCAATATAATGGAGAACCACAGGATACATGATTAAGTAAGAAAAGAGCATGAAATTTTAAATGTACTGTGAGTCCACTTAGTCTCTGAAGTGTACGAACATATTAATAGAAAAACAAATAGAAGTACAGCAAAATGAACAGTGATTACGTCTGGGTATTAAGATTATGGGTAATTTTATTTTCTTGTTACTCTGTATTTTCTAGAAAGAATATGTGCAACTCCTAGAGAAGCTTAAAAGCACAATAAATAGTCTTAGACAAAATAAGGCTTTAAAAAAAATCCTATGACAATGGTATCAAGGCAAAAGCTACACATACTGGACATTTAAAAATTCATTATTTTCCATTTTAGAATTTACCTCTAAGCCATAAATCCTCACTGAGAGATTCTGCAAAAGCACTTGCACCAAGGTCACCGATGAGTGTGTTGCAATTCAAAGTAATGCGCCTCAAACCAGCCATACAGTCTAGATCAGGTCTCCTGTAACGAAGACTCTCAGCCCAGATTTCTTCGTGCCTTCTCATGGTCTGATACTTCAATGATTTAACAGGATGAAATTAAGACGTTTAGATAAGGAAGCAGGGTATGACCACTGAGGATGGCTTACGCCGGAGATTTACAGACACATACCAAGTATATAACCCGAGAGATTTAACAGTCAATTCTAGTTCAGGAGTCCAGTGACCTGGGTTCTAGTATGCCAGTGATTAGATTCTAGTCACTGGGAGACCTGTGGCTGATCAGTTACATAAACTCTGATAACCAATTACATTCTAGAAACTTCATTTTCCTTATCTGCCATGTCAGGGAAGTGGTTCTAAATTCTGTATTGCTGAGGCTCTAAGTTCTATCATTCTGTCCTCCAGCGGTTTCCAAACACTTGATGGGATATCCTGCAAGTGAACTTTCTGTAACATGTATCTTATTTACTGGTAAATTATATATATATAGTTCTGTACATATACTTCATGTTTATACTTCAGTATAAACTACACAAGTACTTTTTAAACAATGCAAAAATAAATATAGAAGTTCTAATATTTTCTTCCTCTAACTGAATGGATCTCACTACTTTAGAGTATGCCACCAACTTTAGAGGCTGGCAATAGATAGACAAAGCCAGTTTGACATGCCTCAAGAAATTGATGGTTTGATTTTTAACCATAGATAAAGTCATAAAGACATACCCAGTTCTCTATATTTTAACAGGGAACACTGACTTTAAAAGAAAGAAATCTTATTACATGCTCAAACAACAAAAGACTCAAAGCTTCTATGCCAAAAGCTGGAAAAAGCTTTGGAAAAGCTTTGGGGAAAGCCTGGATGGAAATGGAAAAGCATTGATGCCATTTTTCTATTAACAATAACTTATAAAAGCAACAAGTGGAAATCACAGCAAAAGGCTTACACGGTGCTTATTATGTGCCAGGCATTATTTTATACAAACTAGTTCATTTAATCCTTATAATAAAGCACATAGGCTAAGTCATGCGTCTACAGTCACAAGCTAGGAAATCCGAGAGCTGGAATTTGATACCAGGCTATTTGGCTTCAGAATCCATGCTCTTGACTTTCTATATCTGGGGTCAATGGGCTTGTTCTATACAGGCTCAAAGGTAAATCTTCCAGTTTTGTGGACTGGAAGGTTTCTGTTGCAACCATATAACTCCATTGGTCTAGGAGGAACACAGCCACAGCCACTATGTAAGCAAATGGGCATGGCTATGTTTTAAAGAAATTATTTATAAACATCAGGTGATGGGCTGTTTTCAAGAACTAAAAATACATGAAAGTACTATTTATAATGTATTATACATTAAGTCTCTTATTCCTAGGATTAAATGGACTACCTTTCCTAAGTGGTAGAACCCCAAACTAAAAACTGGTCATATTCTTTCAACAAAACTAAAACTACAATCACATGTATCAAAAGACAAAAAAAAGATCTGCCATCTCATATCAGAATATTCATGTGCTTCAATCACATAATGTTTTCATGAAAGTTTAAACATAAAATCACCTTTAAGATCTTGGCCATGTGATCTGCTCCCTGCCATGTCAGATTACACCCCGTGAAGTTTACTGTCTTAAGAGTGATAGAGTTCTTTATACCTTGACAAATAACTAAAAGGAAAAAAAAAAAAACCATAGATACAATAAGATGAAGAGCCTATACAATCTGGTCAATCCTGACTTATTTGCTTTTCTTGAGTCTACTGGAGGTTTATAGCTGTGTTCTTAAAATCACTACCTACAATGTTCCCAGGCAACTGATGGATTGGTGCATTCTAAAATATGTCAGCAATAAAGGGCTATTGCATTTTACAGCAAGAGTTTAATTCTATTTAGATGCTAAAACTGAATATTGTGAACCTGGCAAACTTTATTCCCAACTAGCCAGTAAAGTACTATGTATCTTTTGAGACATAAGGAAAACCTAAAAAAACTTGACTCCTCCTATTTTCATTTCCAATAATATAACTCAAACTCAGTTTTTCCATTTAAATGCTAGTTATAAACCCAGTTTTATTAGATACTATGCAATATGCTAGAGCAATATAAGACAGAAGACATCAAACTTAATTCCCTCAAATTAACATGCAGCTTTCCTTACCACGCTCAGACCACTATTGGACACAGTGAACACACTAACTCTTCAGGACCCCAATGAACAATCATTTTTCTCTGTGATTACTTCTATGATATGCCCCCACAAGCACAACTGAATTTGCTGGCCTTTTATATGTTCCCACAAACATTTTGCATACATTTCCAATTTTAGTACATAATACAGTGCACAATATAAATATGACTGTATACAGATGTTTTAACAATTTAAAGATAACTTTTTTTGTCTTTACATTTTGCTATTTCCCTTCTTCATAATTATTTCTTGAAAAAGATAAACACAAAACAGAAAACATAAAATAATATATATTTGTGTGGCTTGTGGCTTAACATGATCTTAAGTTAAACTAGTTTGGAGCGTATCCAGCATAACAAACTTTCAGTGTACAAGCCAGACGAGACCAAAGTTTGAAGAGGCATAGGGGATAATCCAGAAAGAAAAGGGAGAGACAGTAATTAACATGCACGAAGGGAAATGTGAGATCATTCTGATGGGAAGAGACTTAAACAAGATCGAAACTTACTTTCTAAACCTCCATCTCCAATTGGACAATTTGCAAGGGACAGGTGTACCAAAGAAGTCGATTTATTCAATCCCTTTAATGGGGAGAAAAAGAGTTAAATTTTTTATTGCTTTAGTTTCCCCTCAAAGCAAATATCCAATGTTTGCAAGACACATTGGAGAAGGCTTACCTTTGTCAAAACAGTTAAATCTCTCTCTCTTAGCACTAGTCCATTTAGCTCCAGGTTCTTTAGAGCACTTGATGCACTTAAACAACATTTGAGAGCTTTACATAACTGGAAGGTCACATCTTTGTTTCTTATTGCAGGAACACGACTTCTGCAAACTTTACTTCGGTCAGAGCCTAAAGCAAAATTATTATAAAATACATAGTATCATATGAGAGCATCTGCTCTGTGGTGAGGTACAGAAATGACGTCTGTCCTTAAAGCCCTCTTTAAGGAGGGACACGTGTAAACTCAATATATCAGTCACATGAGATACAGAAATATAAACTGTATGTGTGCATGTTCCTATGAAAGCAAAAAGTTATATCTAAGTGATGGCTTCAAGATACCCTGAAGTTGAATCTAGAAAGAGAATGACCACATAGTCTGGGTGGGAGGTGCATGAACAGCAGAGAGCCCCCAAGTGCAAAAACATCCAAGCCTGACACCTGCTGGCCACAGGAAAAACTGCAGGTGGGGACGACTAAAGGCCAGGGTTGGTCAAAGCCAGCCTGGGACAGCAAGCCCATGGCTTTTACCTCATACATGATGAGGACCAGGGCTACCACTGGCACAGTAAGGGTGCTTCTGCGGGTTAGAAAAAGGTACCTAAGTCAGATGAATTAGAAAAAGCTCCCCTTCCTCAGGGCCAACTAGCCCCTTGGCCCTTGGCTGAGCACAGCTCAGATTTCATCCTCTGTGCACAACACAAGCTGTGCAGCCAACATACACTGATCTCGTGCCATCACAATCCATTACAAGCATTATTTTAAGCATATATTTTCATTTTAGAAGATCACTGAAGCCCAGTAGGCAGATGAACTGAGCTCAGAGGCAGCAACACCAGCTAGAAGCGGGTGAGGTGGGATGCCTACGGGGGTGCAGTCAGTTAAGCACCCGACTCTTGATTTCAGCCTAGGTCATGATCTTGGGGTTGTGAGATCAAGCCCCACATCGGGCTCCCGGCTCAGGAGTCGGCTTGATTCTTGATTCTTTCTCATCGTCTGCCCCACCCCACCACTCGTGCTCTCTAGCTCCCTCTAAAATACATAAATAAAAATTTTTTAAAAAGGGGGGTAGGGAAAGAAGCTGGTGAGGATAAAGAAGCAAACCTAGGAGGCTGAAATCTATAACCTGGGCCCACTAGGTGCAAGAGAATACAGAGGTTCAATGAAGGGATTCTGAAAAGAATGGTCTCTGTGATACATTTTTCTTACATTTAATGTGCAATGTTAGGCAAGATTAAGTACAGTGATCCTGACTTTGAGGTCCCTTTCAACTATAATTGCTTCTGATTTCTATGTTATTACTTTGGTTAAGCAAGTCCCTACAGAGGCATGGAACAGTTCAGTTCCTACACCTAAATGAGATGTAGAGAATAATCTGACGTCTCTTCACCAGGGGATACATTGAAATGTCTCCGCAGAAGAGAGAACAGATGACGTGGAACCCAGAAACCTAGGATAGGGCCAGGCACATAAAGTGTTCAGGTTTTTAAAAAATAAATCAGTAGCCATTTCCTCTTCTGGATCTTCCTGGTGTGCTGTAACCTTGTATCAGCTTATAAACACACTCAAGTGAGTCTATCTTAAAAAATATCTTTCAGGCTTAGGATTTTCTAGAACTTTGTAGGTTCCCTCAGTTTCTCCTCTACCTTCAAACCCTCCCCCATAAGGCCCAGATCTGCACCTGCAGCCTAGAGATGTCTAGCAGATACACTCACTGTATGCCCCTCAGGGCCCTCTTAAAGCATTAAGGATGAAGTGAGATCCTCTCCCCAACCCCAATCCCCTTTTACTGTGCTCTGTCTCACAGAAAGGTGCTGCTATAAATTGTTACTCAAGCTTGCTGCCCTCCTCTTCTAATGGGTCACTAGGCCCCATCCATCCCATCTCTTTCATCTCTGAAATCCAGTCCTCCTTTTCTATACTTAATTTGGGGTTCTCAGATTACAATTCACCCTCCTCCCCATCAACTGCCTTCCATAAGGAGGGCAGAGCAAGCTTCTAAACCAAAGTCCATCTCTCAGTCCTGGAGTGTCTCCCACAGCCTTTGGGATAAACATCCAACCAACCATGATAGGACAACCACGGCCCCTCCCCGGGTGGTCCCCACCAGGTTTCCAGTCTCAGCCCTCCCTTCTTCAAACTCTAAGTTCTAGTCAGTCCTGTGGTTTTGTTTTGCCATATTTTCTTGTATTTCTCCAACTTTTGCACAAGCAATTTCCTCCTGCCATTGGAGAAGCTTCCACACGTCCTCCTCAGAAAGGAGGCACCTCCTCCAAGAAGCCTTCCCTGAACACTCCCTTCTACTGTTCCGGGTTTTGCAGCACCAGAGGTCACTTCCAGAACACTGACTACTGTGCTTGTGTTTACTTGCTGCCTCCCCCAGTAGAGGTGGAGATCCTCTAGGGCAGAAGCCTTGTCTCCAGCAGTGCTTGGTGCTGGCTGAGCTCATCTGAGTGCCTGGAAACTTTACATACAAACAGTCTGCTTAATTCTTGTTTTTGGCTGTGTGTGTAAAAATTACACACTTATTTATTAAAATTCCAGTGCAGCTACCATACAATGTTATAGTAGTTTCAGGTGTACCATACAGTGATTCAAGAACTCTACACACGTACTCAGGGCTCAGCACAGTAAGCGCACTCTTATTAAACTGCCTACCTAATTCTACGAACCCATGGAAAGAGTGGTTTTTAATGCCACTTTACAAGTGTGGGGATTGTAGTGCAAAAGTAACCTGCTCAGGCCACGCAGGGTAGAAGTCTTGGAATTCAAACCCTGGGCTCCCTTCACGTCTGTGCTCTATCCACACTGTATGATGTCACTAAAGAAAAAAAATAAAACAGCGCTGTATATGACTCAAAATGAAATGAGGCAAAAGGCTGGGTGTATCCCTTCTGTCAGCCTAAATCGTTATTCGGAAAACCAGGTCATACGTGTCCAATGCTTTTTTTTTTTTTTAATTTATGATAGTTACACAGAGAGAGAGAGAGAGGCAGAGACACAGGCAGAGGGAGAAGCAGGCTCCATGCACCGGGAGCCCGACGTGGGATTCGATCCCGGGTCTCCAGGATCGCGCCCCGGGCCAAAGGCAGGCGCCAAACCGCTGCGCCACCCAGGGATCCCCGTGTCCAATGCTTAGTGACGTCCCCAGCCGTGTACTGAGTGGGTGCATCCTTGCCATCCCCAGGCACAGCGCGTCCCGTTAGCTCCGGGCCACCGCGCTGGTGGGTTCTCACCCAGGCCGCACGCCCGCTGCGCTGCACGCGGACGGCAGCACTGGACTGGGCTGGGCCGGGCCGGGCCGGCCGGCCGCGCCGCGCCGGGGCTCCACGGGGCACCGCCTCACGTCCCGCCGCGCCACACCCACTCGAGGGCGGCTGGGAGCGGGAACCACAAACCTGTTTCGCCAAGCCACGGCTGGAAGCCGCTCTTGATGGAGACCAGGGGCAGATCCTTATTAATCCTGAGCGTGCTGAGCAGCGGCGCCCAGTCCACGCCGCGCAGGCGGTCGGCGTTGAAGTCCAGCACGCCCTCCCGCAGGCAGGCGCGCACCGACGGCGGGGGCACCGAGTCCTGCAGCGCGCACAGGTACTCGTAGTGCGAGAAGAAGTCGGCCGCGCCGTCGCGGCGCAGCTTCGCCGACTCGAGCATGGCCAGCGGGCGGCCTCGGGCGACGCCGGCGGCGCACACAATGCCCGCTGGCGCCGGGGAGCGCCCGGTCGCCTACGGCGCGGCGGCTCGGACCGCAGACGCGGGGTCCCGGCCCCGGCTAGGCCTGGCCCCTCGACGCCGCGCTCCCGCGCCGCCCCCCGCCGCACGCCGCCGGCCGTTGGCGCCCGCCTCAGCGCCTTCCGCGGCGCGGGGCTGCGGCTCACGCCGGGGGGCGGGGGGGCGGGGGGCGGAGCCTGCGGGGGCGGTGCGCCGGGGCGTCAGCGCGCCCGCCGTGCGTCAGCACGCAGGCCCCGCCTCTCGCGAGGAAGGGGCGGGAGGACGAGAGGCGGGACCTTGGAGGCGAGCGAGGTGCGGAGGGTGGGCGGCTCTCCGAACTGGGGGATTGCGGAGAGGGTTTCCGGGTCGCATCCCAGTGAGAAGTGAACGTAGCAGCGCGTTTGAAAAGTGGTCTACGCTTCCGACGGGGGTCTGCGCTTGCACCGCCCGGGAGAGGACCCTGGATGTGGGATGTGCGAACGCCTAGAGTGGGTGTCCGCCGCCGTCCTTGAACGGTAATTCCCTACAGATAACCCTTCGCTTCTGTTGGTTCTGCTTCCCTCACCCGGTTGTTGGCATAGATAGTAAAGAGGTCCGTGAATTCAGGACATAATTGCTGATTGCTAGTAACCGCTTTGTTTTGTTTTCACAGTGATGGGTAACTCTCTCGTAACTAGTACTTTCTGTCTCCTAGGTATTATTATGATTTTTTTTAAAGATTTTTGTTAGAGCGAGAGACAGACGGACAGACGAGTGGGGGGAGGGGCAGAGGGAGAAGCAGACGCCCCGCTGAGCAGGGAGCCCCAGGCAGGTCTCGATCCCAGGACCCCGTGATCATGACCTGAGCTGAACAGACACGCTTAAACGACTGAGCCACCCAAGCACCCCTATTAAGCATTATTTTAAGCACTGTTTAAAATAATTTGGGGGGTTCAGTCAAGTTGAATGTATGACTTGGGCTCAGGTCATGATCTCAGGGTCCTGGGATCCAGCCCCACGTGGAGCCGGGTGGTCGGGCTCCCTGCTCAGCAGGGAGTCTGTTTGTCACTCTCCCTCTGCCTCTCTCCCTGGTCATTCACTCTCTCTTTCAAATAAATACATAAAATCTTTAAAAGTATGAAATAGGGCAGCCCGGGGGTGGCTCAGCGGTATAGCGCCGCGGTCAGCCCAGGGTGTGATCCTGGAGACCCGGGATCGAGCCCCACGTGGGCTCCCTGCTTGGAGCCTGCTTCTCCCACTGCCTGTGTCTCTCATAAATAAATAAATAAATAAATAAAATCTTTAAAAATAATAATAAAAGTATGAAATAATTTAATTTTCCTAACTCCACAGGGAATATACAATTGTATAGCCACTAAGTAAGTAGAAGTCAGATCTTTGGGCTCAGAACCTTTATTTGTATCCAGTTTCTAAAACAGTGATCGTCCTTCGTTTTACCTCTTACTCACTATACTTCACTCCTAATCCATCCTGACAACAATTATACCCAGACTTCCAACCCAACTTACCTTCCCACAGAGCCTAATGCCACTGCCATCTGCTCATCTCTAACACTGATCCTCTCTGGACCTGCTTTCAGAACAACGAGTTTGTTGGATCCAGTCACAGACCAATGTCAACCTGGTCAACAACATAGCCTGTCTTATTTTAAGTGCCTTGTAGTTCCCATTTCTTTTTTCCACTTCTTTATTTACAGCTATTCACAATGGCTCTTCCAAACTTCCTCTACTCTTTTCATGTCACCACTAGACACTGTGTCCCTGGTCTCTGACCTGAAGAGGATACCTCATATTTCACTAGGAAAATAAGTTTTTAGATGCAGACTTCTTCATCTTCTTTCCACGAACTCTGGCTGCTTTTCAATCCGTGCTTCAACATTAGTGCAGCCACCACCACTTTTTCTTCAAATCCTTTCAAGACTTCCCATTGCTCTTAGGATAAAGGCAGTCCTCCTCACAATGGTCTAAAATATTGCTACTCATTGTGAAGTCACGAACTGGCTGCTGGTTGAGAACTGTTACTGTTCTATAAGATAAGGAACTTGCTGCAGAGTGTAAATGCATAAAACATCCTGTTTAGTTCAGCAGGCAAGATTTTCTTGATAAAAGTAGCAGTGTGTTGAGTTACCTCCTAGAACAAGCTCCTTATCTCACTGTCTGCTGGCACTTTGAGTTACCTGGTCTGCAGGATAGTGCATCTCCTGGGCATGATGGGGGCGTAATCTCTGAACACTTGTCTTGCACCCTTCTCCCTTTCATTTTTCAGGAGTCCAGCCCACAGTGGACTTCTTTCAGACCTACATATTTCAGTGGTTCACTGTCCATAGCTTCTCCTCTACATGGAATATCCCCTTTACTCTGCACCTGGTTAAGGTCTCCTCATCCTTCTCAGTTCACCTGTCACATTGCCAAGGAAGTATTCCCTTACCTACTCAACTCATCAAATCCTCCTACCCTAAGCTCTCATAACACCATGTACCTGTCATTCATAGCCTTCATCACATTTCGTAGTCATTTTAAGATAGACACTTACCATATGGTCCGTGAGGAAGAAATCACATCTGTTTTGCTTACTCTTGCATCTCCAGCAACTACCACAGTTACTACATGCTTAACTGTAACACTAGTTATAATACTTGTTAAATGAACAAATGAATGTATCCAATCAATGATCAAGCCTTGGCAGTTTTTCCTTTATGGAGTCTCTCTCGTACTTCTCTCTTCTATTTGTGTTCCATTACTCTACCATTTATTGTTTTACATGTGGATTATGATGATTGCTTCAGAGAATAGTATGTCTTCCTACATTCAGGCTCTCCTTCATTTATTACACGTCCCAAGGTTCAAGGATCATGCCATTGCCCTATTCCAAACCTTCCATAACACCTATTGCCAACACAATAAAGCCCAAACATTTAAGAATGACATTTAAAACTTTGCATAATTTGGCTTTAATTTCACTTTCCAGACTGGTTTTTAATCTATGGATCTAATTATCTCTACATCTTTGCTCCCTTCCAGTGCATATTATAATGTCAAAAATTCTTCTAGTCCCTGCCCTTATGTCTCCTTCTCTGAGAAAGCTTCACTGAGAATCCAAGCAAGATATGGATCCCTTCTCTCCTCTGAACTTGCAAACAGCTTAATAGGACACATCTGGAACTGACATAAGGCATCTACATCTTATCATCCCTGCTGGTATTGAAGCTCTCTGAGAGTGAGGATACATCTCTGCGTTCTGTGCAGTTCTCAGCATGGTATTATACACATGGGTCAACCTGGTCAGTGAATATTTGGTGAATGAACCAATGAATGAAATGAGTTCTCTGACTCTTTCTCTTTTTTTTTTCTTTCTGCTTTTCAAGGTTCTGTAGTTAGTTACATTTGGATAATAGGCTGCTTCATAGCAACATAATAATCAAGCTCACAGAGTGTTGCAAATAGCTGCTAAGAGCATCCCTCTGCCACTTTAGAACAGCTTGTTCTTCCTCTCAAAGGAAGAGAGCAAGATTCTGTACTTATTAAGTGCCTTTGTTTGCTTGGCATTTAGAGACACTAGAGGCAGCCTACATTCAACGAAATGCCCATTTTGATTGTAATTTTCCCCTATGAATAGCAGCTATCCAAAGATGTTTCTGTACAATTTTTCATCCTTTTATATTCATAAAATGCATTTTAACTACATACAAGCAGAAAATAAATAGAAAGAACTCTGCTTTGAATTTGATAAAAGTTTAGGGAGATGTCTTTATGGCACATTACCAAACTTGTTTGGGGAAACTTTAGCCGTGTGAAATGTGTTGGAGAGGTGCCAAGAATTCAAGAATTCTCAAAATTTCTGAGTACACAGTTGCCTCATATATAGGCGTAGTGACAGGCATCTATCAATAACATGGAAGATAGGGATGCCTGGGTGGCTCACTGCCTGAGCGTCTGCCTTTGGTTCAAGGCGTGATCCCAGGTCCTAGGATTGAGTCCCACATCGAGCTCCCCCCAGGGAGCTTGCTTCTCCCTCTGCCTGTGTCTCTGCCTCTCTCTGTGTGTCTCTCATGAATAAATAAATAAAATCTTTTAAAAAAGTAACTTGGAAGATATTGTGCTAGTCCTCTTATGCTGTAATAATGTGGAACAAATCATCCTAAAACTTGACAACATCAGTAAGAATTTTGGTTTTGTTTTGTTTTTAATCTGGATTAGCTTTAGTGACTCTGTTTTAGCCCTCCAGATAGCTGGTTTTTCTCCATGGTTGGATCCATTTGAGGTCTGTCCCACACATCTGATTCCAGGGCCTGAATGTGGGGCACCTACTTCCAGGGCACACTCTTCTCACTTTGGCTATTGAAACACAAGAGGTGAGCCCACTTAAGCCCACTTAAGACCTCTGCTGGCATAATATCTGCTCACACAGCACTGACCAAAACTTGTCCCAGATCTAAATTGTGTGTAGAATAGGTACATATGCCTCAAGTTCGTAGATCTCACAGAATATTGCATCTTGGACAATGTTACCTTGGCACTTTCATCAACATTTGTATACTTGATAAACATTGCAGACACTTTTTCACCTTTAAGAACTTTCTGAATTTGTGTAACAATTTCTATGGGAACAGAGGAAGGTATACTTTAGAACTCAACTATTGTTATTGCATTGCTGGGAGAAGAATTGATGATATTAAGGTCAGTACAGATTAAAGATTTGAGATTCACATCTTCCTTACTAACATCAGTCTATGGAACATTCCTGGGGAACTGTGATAGTAGCTTTATATGATTTCAGTCACATGACAGTTTGCCAAAGCTGCTTAAGTAAAACATACATAATACAGTCCACCTCGCTTTAGTTTTCCCCACCACTCCACAACGTATCATCAAAGGGGTACCTAATAGTTAAACAGAAACAGAAACTGAAAGAACTCATTGCTAGCTTACCTGCTTGACAAGAAATATTAATGGAAGCACATCAGTTGATGTCAGACTCAAATCCATAAAGACAAAACAAGACAAAGAATTCCAATCAAAGTAATGATGTAGGTAATTCTAAAAAAACAACATAAATTCACATTTCTCTATTCCTTATACCTAACATATATGGTATGTTTATATTTCGATTATTGTGCATACAACAGATAGAAATGTTGTATATCTGACAACATGGACAAAAGAGGCAGTGAGAACAAAGCTGTGTTAGAATAAAAATGATGCTAAATCATAACCTGAATCCATAGGAAGAAACGAGGAGAACCAGAAATGGTCAATAAACAAATTAACCTAACAAACTCTATTAATATTAATTTGTTCTTATTTCTTCTCTCAGCTGCTTTGAAAGACATAACATTTTTTATGGTCATACTTATAACAATGTATTGCTGAATATGTAACATATAAATGTAATGAAAACAAAAAAAGATGAGGGATGAGAGGAACATAAAGGTATAGTTTCTATATCTGACTAGAATGAAGTTAGTTTACTTTTTTCTTAAGATTATTTATTTATTTATTTGAGAGAGGGAGCATAC